TCCTGCACATTGCCAGTTGAGGGATTGACATCTATTACCTGAGTCTTTTGTCGTATCCACTCTATTCTTTTACGGTCTCTCTTGGTTATTTCCAGCATTTTTCGTTCCATTGAGCATTATGCGACCTCTTTATATCAAGTATATCAGCAATGGTGAACGCTTCTTGATTTGGCAACGCGTAAGCCTCGACCCATTTGCTAATGTAATCCTCTCTAAGTCTCTGGGAAAGGACCAGCCACGTCGATCGCTATTCGTTCGAAAGGACTGCCTACATTGTACTGGGCATTGGAGCTTTAACGCGCTTTTGTGGTCCATTGATAGCAACGCAAACGTCACATTTCTTGCACCAAGCCCTCAAGTCTTCTTTGCAGTTCACCCAATAGAACCGTTCTCGCAGCTTGCCAAGTGTCTTGGTAACACGAAAATGTCCACCGCTATTGTGAACTTCCTCCAAGACTTCCGGGATTCTCTTCTTTGGAGTGACTTAACTGTCTTCTCTCTGCTTCTCGTCCCTCTGGTCTCTCGATCACACGGCGAAGTAATCCGTTATCTATTACCAAGGAATTCCACTGGGCCCAGTACGACTTCACGTTTGACGAATATCTACAAACTTCCTCCCATGTTTGCCTTTGGTCTGCGTTTTTCCAGTTAATTACTAAATCTAATTCTGGGTCACTGGTTTGGTCATTTGCAAGATCTTCGGGTTGCCAAGTATCATTAATTACAGTTGTTCTTAGGAGTTTCGCTTCTTTCTCTTCTGCTCGGGAACAATGCTTACAGTCCTTAGCGCAAGGTCTTATGGAAAGTGCGTCGGAATTTCGATGGATTGCCCCAGCTCGATGTTCTGTGTCGAAGTCAAATTCTTGTGTTTTAAGTTTTACTTTCCCTATGATGGCCGTTTTAAGTGTCCCGGTTTTGCATGCAAAGGTCATGACTGGTAGTACACATTGGACCAATGTTTTCTTCTTTAGATAGAGTGTCATTCTAGATTTGAATATGATTGAGTTTCTTCCATAAGTACTCTATGCTAACTTAATTCTTCTGTTGATTTCTGGTACTTAAGATCCCGAGCTGTGTATTAGTTTTCCCAAATACATATTCTTCTACTATTTCCAGCGTTTGTGTTATTTCTTAGAATATCTTTTCTTTCCACTAATTCATTGCTCATTACTTTAGTGTTTGCTAAATTCATTTTGAGACCCTGTATTTAGTTCATTAATTTGTGCTTGTAATTCTTTAGAACTATTGGCAATTAGGACTATGTCATCAGCGAATCTTAGATGGGTAAGATATTCTTCATCTATTTTTAATCTTTGTTAGTCCTAACTTTGTTTAGCTTTTGTTGGTCCAATCCAGTTGATGGAAAATTTCTTCTAGTGTTGCTGTAAACAAAGCCTGGGATATTTTTTCCAAATATAACGAATGCTATATACCCTGTATATTTTTCAAATTTTTATAATTTTCAAAAATATTTAAACGTATCCATTTTTATATTATATTATGTTTAGATAACATGTTTGCTAAATCTTATATCGTCTTTTGACCCAGAAGTCTTGGGTCTTTTAGGAGCTGGAGATTAGGAAGCTGTTCATAAAAACCCAGCTTCAGAAAATAATACGTTTATTTCCGCTACATAATTGCTACTTAACTTAAATATTTAAGTACTTAAGTATTTTTGTATTATTTTACCATATTGCACTTGGCAAGATGCTGTTATTAACTATCTAAGAAACTTTGTCGTCACATCTCCGAGAGGAGACTCCTACCATGCCTTTATCCTGCGTTGTCATGTTGTAAGATAAACTTTTTAAGAAAATTTTAAGACCTTTTTAAGAAAATCTTATTTAGACTACGGATAAAATAAAAACAAAACAAAAATTCTGAAGCTAATTATAACACAATAATGAGTGAAAAACGTGCTTTAATGAGAAAAAAAAGTAATTAAGGCACTTTCCCAAGTTACCTAAACTTTTACTATCTCTCGAACAAAATGGCGTGCTTCGTAGTTCGTTTTCGAAACAATCAAAGTTTAGGTATTTAATAAATTGTTAATTTTGTGAGAGTGAGCAGTTACTAATTTAAAGTTTTAAGTGACTCCCGAGCTGGCACTCTCACGATGACTAAGCATTTTTGGATTACCTCTGGTGTTTTAAAGGGTAATTTAACTTTCTCCTTTACACCCTCGAAAAAAGAGAAAGGATGAGAGGAATTCAGTGTATTAATGACGGGAAAAAATATAGATATTTTTTCAATTTCTTCAAGCCAAGTAAGTTCATTAATTTTATTGGTAATTAAATTATTTTGAAATAAAAGAATTTTTGAAAATAAAAGAATTTTGGACTTCCTTTGTTTATTTTGATAACACAACGTTTCGGTCAGAAGGATCTGACCATTATCAAGTGTAAACTAAACTAATTCCTAAAACAACTGCGCTTTTATGTAGTCTGGCATTCACCCGTAAAACTTTTGCTGCAGTCAACGGTGAGGTTGTCCATTTAGAATGCCTGCATTGTAGCGTTTTGTCAGTGGTTGCCATATCGAAGGTATTTCGGTACTAGGATTACTAAAAATGTTATTATTGTTTGCTATGAAAACGGCTTATTTACCACTTTATATTGTGCTAGTTTGGCTAAACAAGGTCCACAATATATGACTTTATTGTTTCACCTTTTTGGTATATGTTTTTTGTGCTCGATAAGTCATACATTTATAAGACGTTTAGTCTCTCCAATATACGACTCACCGCCTTCGCAAGGTACCTGGTACTCTCTCCTTTGTTCCAATGATTCCGGCCTTGTTTTTGTTAGGACGCTTCTTAGAGTCGATCCAGATTTAAAGAATTCAGTTTTAATATTATACTTTTTAGCTATTCGCTTAATCTTTTCTGACGTTCCTTTTACATATGAAATAAACTGATCGAAAAAAGTTAAGGATATTGTGTTTTCGCTAAGAAGAAAAGTTAAGCTATTAATACCTATGTCGTTTGTGTTTAAAAAAATACTGTTTGTAAACATAAAAAATTGTACCCAAACAAATAAAAAGCATTATCATCAAAAATGTACATTTAATTTTTGTTTAGAATAGAATTTGTTTGCCTATTGCTAAGCGGCAGTTTGCGATATTGTAATTATTCTGTCATCGATAATACGAATAGACGTCATTTAACAGTAGAGGAAGCAAATCAAGCCATTGGGTTGCTTCTTTGCGGTGCGCGACAGATTGATGTGGCTGATCGATTTAAAGTCACCTAAAGTGTAATTTCTAGACTTAAAACCCGATTTAATGAGACTGGAGCTGTCATTGAAGGCATAGGGAGGGTAGACCAAGGTCGACAAATTCTAGGCAGGACCGAAGCTTAATAAGAGGAGCTGGGATGGATCTTGCAAGAAACTACACGTTAGTCAGCCGGGACCTTTTGGCTGCCAGCAGGGTACGTATTTCCCCTCGGACGGTCTTAAATCGATTAAAAAAGCATGTTTACATTGCTGTAGGACTATAAGACGCCCTCCGTGATCCTCCAATGATATCGTCAGCATAAATTTTACCTGTCATTGTACCTTCACAGACATACAATTTCGTTCGGCCTCCGTAGAAAATTCCACCCCAGACCATTAAACCTCTAACTCCAAAGGGATGCCCTTCTTGAACATATCGGTCGTTAAGTCTTGTATTTCTTAGTCTCCATACACGAACTGTACTTTTGACAAAGAGAAAAGCGGGTTTCATCGCTGAACATCGCAGTATGCCACTCATCATTCCAGTTACCTCTTTCATTACACCAGAGCAAACGTTGAGCTTTATGACCTCAACCTGACTCTCGTGGTCAACGGAGGGCATCTTATAGGTCTATAGCAATGTAAACCTGCTTTTTTTTAATTGATTTAAGACCGTCCGAGGGGTAATACGTACTCTGCTGGCAGCCAAAAGGTCCTGGCTAAGCAACGTAGGAGTATCTTGCAGGATCCATCCTAGCTCCTCTCAGTAAGCGCTTCAATCCTCCCTAGCATTTGTTGACTTTGGTCGACCCTCGCTATGCATCTCCATGACAGATCCAGTCTCATTAAATTGGTTTTTAAGCCTAGAAATTACACTTTAGGTGACTTTAAATCGATCTTATCGGCTTGATATCGGCTTGATTTGCTTCCTCTATTGTTAAATGACGTCTGTTTATATTATCGATGATAGAATAACCACAATATTGCAAACTGCCGCTTAGCAACACGCAAACAAGTTCTACTCTAAACAAAAATTAAATGTACATTTTTGATGATAATGCTTTTTATTTGTTTGGGTACAATTTTTTATGTTTACAAACAGTATTTTTTTAAACACAAACGACATAGGTATTAATAGTTATAACACATTTTTTCTGAAACATTTCTAGCCTTCCTAGCTAAAACACAATATCCTTAACTTTTTTCGATTAGTTTAGTTTGGTTTGTTTTAATTTTATTTACTTCAATATAAGTGATACTTGGTCACTGTATATGGTCACATATAGGTGTGTCACATATATGGTGTTGTGATCGTCGCCATGGAAACACCTGATTATTACGGAGGACGATCGGCCTATTTTTAGAGGGTCAGTAAGTAAAAAATCTCATTTTAGTAAAAAAGTGGATTTACTTGGTTATTGCAGCCACCTTTTCAATTATTATAGAAATTACCTAAGTTACCTAATATTGACACGGTTACTATAAATATTGATATTTATCCTGTTATCCTTGGTATTGAAATTTGAAATATAGGTAAGTATTAATAAAATTAAATTCATTCTGGGTTTTTAACACTTTTCAGATATGCTCTGGTTAACCAAAATTTTACTAAAAAAATAAGTAGATATGGCATATTTCTTTAAATAAAAATCTTGGGATTTGCGGATTTTTAAACCATGCAACATTTATATTAAACAAATGATATTGGACTATTTTTTCGAACTGATACTAAAGAACACAACAGACAAGCTTTTTATCTAGGTTGTAAATAATTTAAATACTCACCTGGGAATGAATATATTTCGCATATCTCCTGCTGTTAATGACGCAAATCAGCAATATGTTCGCGAACAATATACCGAACGTCAAAACCAAAACGATCAGCGATTGAATGACGTCACCGGCCGAGATCGTCCACCATAGGGTGAGGTTATGGTAGCGAGGGTGGTTGCAGCTGCTGTTGTGTAACGACGGTGCCACCAGTATCACTTGTTTGGTAACCATGTTAGGTGCTACCAGCTGCACTACTTTGGCTTCATTGTTGCGTAGTAGAAGCCTCTGTAAAAATAATAAATAATCTGTTAGAGAAATTTATCAATATTAGTATGATTATCAGGAAAAAATATACTAAAATCTATAAAATATTTTTAAAATGTGCGCTAGTAGTATCAGGTATCAGCATGTTTCATAAAAAACTAAAATGGAAATATCAAACAGAAAACTCGATACGGAGCTTTTTTGGGCTCACTCTGTTTAACGTATTACATTTCATATAAAAACTTTTATAATTAAGTGTAATGTTAATACTGATTTTTGGTAAATTTCAGTACTTCATTTGAAGAGTATAAAGGTCAGTATATTTACTCAGGTTCTTACATATTATGTTACATGGCCTAAAAGTAAGGCCAAATAATATATTAAATAAATTTTATAATAAAATTATCTTATATTTCTCCAAGAAGTAAAAACACAAATGCATATTGAAGAACAAAAATAAGTATATAAAAACGAGAATACTCCTCCTCTTTCCTACTCCTCTTTGTGAAAGTATAGTGACATTATGAAATCGCATTTACTTTGTTTCTCCATATTGTTCTAGCCTCTGTACTGGCCTCGTTCAGACTATGGCCTTATTTATTGTCTTCATTTGATTCACACAACGATTTGAAGATCTTCTTCTAAAAAATTAGGTAAAAAATTCGTGACGTAATTCCAGAAATATGTTCAGCAGTAATGGAAAATTGTGTGCTGCCAGAGAAGTCCTAGTAGCCATTTCGCAGATATTAGGTTTGTTCCAACCAGCATTTTGGGATCGTTTCGAAATCGTACTCGAATCAGTTTTCTTGCACTTAGTTAGCATGCGCGGACTTCGAATAGTTTCGTGACGGTGCAGAAAGTATCAACGTTGGAACGCTTTGTGGATTGTTTTCGGGACTGTCAAAAATGTCAAGCGTGCGTGTATCGATCGGTTTTTTGTTTTTGTTTAGAATTTCATAACATAACCCTATTATTTTTGTTTGCAATTTGCAACAATAATAATTATTATTCTTGAAATGGAGAATCAGAATCCAGTAATTGTTGGTAAGTATTGTTTCAGCTGTATACTCACTAACTCACTTACCTATCCTCTCTTTTATGATTCTGTTATGCGTAGTTTCCTGTTATTTCATTGCAGTGGTAGAATCTTTGAACATTATTTTATAAATAAAAAATTAATTAAAATTTCCGAACGATTTACTCCACACAAACTCACAAGCAAAAGTATAACGCACACGTATTCGAATTCATAAAAAAATAACCAAAACAGAAGCATCAGCCGGATGCCGGACCAGAATCAGCTGTTAAAAATCGATAATCCCTGCCAATATGCTTTAATGCGCAACTCAACTCAAATAGTTCTCAATTTGGACCATGTACCGAAATTACCATTCTGAAATCGTAACTAAACGATCCCAAGGTAAGTGGGTACGCCAATAGGATCGTCCGATAACCGTCAAATCTCGGTTGGAACACATTTGAATTACTGCGCACTAGCGTGATCGTTCGGTGACGATTCTGCGGCGGGTTGGAACAAATCTATTGTGTTCCGCGTATAATTGTACACTATCCAGCTACGCACTAGAGGTGGGCAAATATTGAACGAGTCGTTTATTTGAACAAGTATTAAAAATGAATCGTGAGATTCGATTCACTGCTTAGAATACGGATCGTTCAATTGAATCGTGGCCAGCACGGATCCATAAGATTTGAACGATGAGCCGTTAAAAAGAATCGTGGGAATTCAATCGGATCACAATGCAATCGTTGGTTTCTAGGGCGCGGCGGTGATACAGGCATAGAGTCAGGCACCAGGTACCAAATTGAGCCACAACAGGCCCTCGCGGTCGCAGTGGAGGGTCCTACCTGGGACCCACTCTTAGTCAATACAATAATACAGACACCAATATTTAGACTTGAACAAAAGCCCTAAACAAACTAAACAAACATCATGGGCATAAAATGCAAACTATAAGAAAGTTATTACAAGAAAAAAAAAACATATTTATACTGTAATGAAGTCCGTATATTTTTTTTTATTTAACCGGTTAAATGCTAGGCGTGAACATAAATCAAACACGGCACGATAGCGGCGTGAAAGTACTTCGCTGGTACACCGAAGGGCCCGGGTTCGATCCTGCCTTGGGACCTAACTTTTTTATTTTTTTTTATCGTTAATATTCTCATGGTAAATGTTTAAATATTTGTTTTTTTATGAACAGGACGGATAGCGTTTGTGGATTTGTGAACCATACTGTATATAAGTAGAATTTGATATGTTCATTTGTTTTGAAGGATTATGGTAACAAATAATTCTTAGACAAGCTTAGTATGGTTTATTTTTATTTTTAGAACTGTTATGATAGTCTAAAACTGAAAAATATTTTTAATACTAAAAATTATTTGCTGATAATATTGTGTTAAATATTTCGTCGATTTGCATGGAGACGTTGAAGTTTTTTTTTTGGTACAAACAGCAAATGGTTTTTTGTAGGATCGACGGGTAAAGACCGTTTTTTTACTGTAAGGAATCTTGATGGGTCGTAGGACGATGGTAACCGAACGTGGTTTTTGGTTCCCGACGGAAAAGATTATTTAAGCGACGGAAGCGCGAAAACGGGGTCTTCCTGTTGAGACTAAGTACCGGTGAACTTTTCTAAGTAAACCTCGCGAGTCTGATCCGTTTTTTTATCAGCGCTGCTGTAAAAACCGAATTCTTGAGTTTTAAAGTAAAAGTACCGTATCTCCGTTTTTGATTTTAAATAAGTATAAATCGTGGTCGCAGAGATTTGATTTAAAATAAGTCTAAACCGTATTTCTGATTTATGAGTATAGATAGTTAAAAACCGAGCATTTAAGTTTTTTATACCTGACCGTGAATAGACAAGCCGGCCGTTTCGTTTTGATCCGACGACGATTTTCTTAAGTTTTCTTTATACCTGACCGTGAATAATTAGTGTGCCTGGATTCCGGGCTGCTGTAGGCGATTCAGAAAACCAGACCGTTTCGTTTGATCCGACGCCGATTTACTCAAAAAAAAGAGGTAATCACATTCTTTCTTTTTTTGTAACCGTCAGATACCCCATCAGAGTTCTAGTAATCACAAATTTTAGTTTCAGCACAGTAGAGTTTTTTTTATTTGATTTTTATGGTATAAAATTCCTTTACGGAGGAAGAGTTAATTAAGGTTCCTCTTTTATTTTACCATAATAATAATATTCCTTATATATCTGATTTATTGATTTATTTAAAGATGCATGTGAATATGTATTGCTAGTATTTTTCTATTTTATTTATTTGAAGATATTGAATTTAAATAATATGAACTTAATTATATGCTGTTGTAATTAACTGATTTAATGTCTCTGTGTTAGATTTTGCGATATTTCATGTTTTAGTATTTTCTTCATATGTTCTTTATTTGAAGATATTGGATTCATAATTATTTTAATTTATTAATTAATTACTTAATTATTTGCTATTGTAATTAACTGATTTAATTTCTCTGTGTTAAATTTTGCGATATTTCATGTTTTAGTATTTTCTTCATATTTTATTTATTTGAAGATATTGGATTCATAATTAATTTATTTAAATAAACCTCGTTATGGAATATATTAGACTTTAACTGGCTTTTACCCCATTTCCCTGGATTCTCCACTGTAGAAAAGCTGCCCGTATTGGCCGAGGTGGTCTCTCAAACACTTTAAACTTTGGGGGTGGCACCCGAGAACAAAAAGACCGACTGTTAGGCGTTAGTAATAGCTCTCTAGGAAAAAAGGCTGTTACAAAATTTTCGTGCTTAGTACAGTAATAATTGTGCTTAGTACAGTATCTGTCAAATATTTAATTTTCATGTAATATTTTTGTTAAAATAATATTACCCACTATAAATCATTAAATGTCGGACTAAAAGCCGAAATCGTGTTTTATGCATCTCTAAATAAATATTGTTGGCCTCTGCTGAATAGGATAAAAAAAATGGCGTCAGCGATGGTTATAAAATGAAGATTGCAGTCATTTTATATGTAAAATTATATGGGGAATGTCATCGATGTTGATTTCCAAGGCAACTGGACGCCATTTTTTTTCGATCATGCGGTATTATGTATTATTTATTATGGCTATTAAATCGGAATTAAAATATGTCTCTAAAAATATTAAATTGGTATTAAGAAGACTTTAGTCAATAGTATATTTATATGCATTGGATAGATAATTTAATATTATTGGTAAAATAATCAATCCAATTACGCTAGTATCAGAAAGTGTTGAAAAACAAATGAAAGAACTGTATATTTCTTTTTATGGTCCCTTAAGTAATTGTCCGGCCAAATGATCGCCGGTAGTGCCAGTTACGATTCTTGTTTTTATCAAACGTAAATTGTGCATGTGATTCGTTCAAATGAACAAATCGTAGGAGTCGATTCAATATGAGAAATTGAATCGTGTGATTCGATTCATAAAAAAAAAGAATCGTAGTGATGGGCATTCACTACTACGCACTACCATAAATATCTTTTAGATATGTTATGAAACTTTTATTTTATTCGTTATCAACATCCATAACCTCTTATTGGAATACCCTTTATCTTAAATAAGATTGAAATGTTTGTACGGTGAGCTGTGTACGGTATTCGCAGCATCCGTCTATAATACAACATTCCAAAAGCATCGATTTTACGTCGCATTGACAACTTTAACGTCCAGGTCTCCGAGGTATAAGAGGCAATGAAGAAAATTAGTGCTCTTAGTAGTCTTTAGTTTGTTGCTAAGTGAAACGGCTGAATCGTTCAATATTTTATTAAGTTTGGTTATGGAATTGCGTGGTATAGACAGTCTTCTATTGATTTCCGCCATGCATCCTTTTTTGTTTAAGATCAAAGGGCCGAGGTATATAAATTAACCTACAATTTCTAAAACTGCTATTTCCGTAGTGTTGTTCGTGGGTTTCCGAATGTGAGTAACTACTAACCCTAAAAACTATACAATTTTGAAACTTAATCCAAAAAATGTTTTTTTTTAAACTGTACATTTGTTAGCTATTTTTTTAGCTTCAGTTTCTTTTTAAACAAAAATAAACTTTTCTAAATAGAGAATTCAAGAGTATATACGTAGAAGAGCGATAGATAAATAAAGATCTACTTTCTAAGATTGCATTTGCAAACTCTACGGATTAAATTTCAGAATGAATCACTCTAATTATAAACAAACAAAAAGATAAACGAGAACCTACGTACCTTTTCGATGCAGACATCTCAAAGTAGATTTGTATTGAAATCCAACGATTGAACTGGCAAGTCCAAGATTCTCCTTCCTCTTTTCTATACATTCGTTCAATTTTTTTTTAATTTTAAATCATTCGTTCAGATTCTTTACATTTTGTTTTAGTCGGGATTGATCTGTAACAAATTAATTAATTTTTAGAATAAAAGGAGTTAAAAGTATATTTTTAAATAAACTGTAAACTTTTATTATTTTTCAAATGTTAAGATATATTATAGGGTTTTTACATAACAGATTCTTTAAAATCTTTTTAAGGGACTAGTTTCAAGTTAAAGTTATTTCTAGGCAAACTTTGATTCAAAAATATTTTTTACTTTGTTTTACCTGAGTTAACGGGAATTGTCTCTCAATTGGCTATTTTATATAGAACATCCTCTATATTTTTTAAGTTGTTTTAGAATTCTAAACAAGTTTTATGTGTAAATTTTATATCTGGCTGTCTATTTATCTTTATAATTTAATAAACAGACAGTAGTATCTACTGACTAGTGAGAAAGAAAATCTAGGGACTAGTGGGGTTGCAGTCGGAAGGGTTTGGACTGGAATTAATACACTTTGTTAATTGTCAAGCTTTCGGAATTTATTTATTCCATCCTCAGGACACTGAAATGGAAATACCATACCATACCGCCATTACTCGCTGACGAGTATTTGAAGAAGAGCTTTTGAAGAAATGGAAATACATGTTACAGAAAAGGCTATAAAAGTCAAGTAGAAAGAACTTACTCAACGTGGTAAAAAGACCTTCATAAAAACTACATTAAAAAATAGGCTTGAGGGATACATTGAAAACTCTACAGCAAAAACATCGCTAACCAGTCAACCACACTAAGAGCTATCTTGGGGCGGATAAGCCGCCGGATTATTATTTAAAACATTGGAAATAATTGCGAGATCTTCGAGCAAATTTCAATTGCGTCTCAATCTAAATTAATAAATAGATATTTCTATTTTAAATATAAAGTTCGACTGAACTGACTGGGGATACGTCTAAAAGCAAATCACTTTTATGTGCTACAAATGATACTAAAAATTAATTCAGTGTGATAGAAGTACCAAACTGTTTAGTAAATAAGATATAATTCATAAGGGGACATGTATAGCAAAGACATCTAGAATTATTATTTTTGTAATTTTTAGTTAGGTTTTTCTTAACTTAACCAAGAGAGTCCAGTCATTATAGAGAGTCAGCAGATACATTATAGCTCTAAAACTGGAACAATAAATAGTAAAAGGAATTTAAGAGAAAAAGTTCTTTTTAAATTTTAAAATAAGATTTTCTTCAACTTTTTAAAGCATGACTAATAAAAGTTACTTGCGTATTTTGTTTAATATTTGGAATATTTTAATTTTACAATCTTCTTGTTTCTCTTGTAACTTAAGTAAACAGCGGCCGAATTTTTTATAAAGCCGTCCCAGAAAAAATAACTTGAAATGTACATTATTAAATCAATTTTGAGTTGACTTTAAAAGGAAGTTCCCAAAAAAAATTTTTGGGCAAAAATAATCATGGAATTGTTAAAATGCGGTTTTGTAAAAATAGTATTATTTTTTTTCACAGCTATTATGTCTGGTTGACAAGTGATCTCGGGAAACTAGTTTCCAAGAGGTTCACTGTGCGGGCTAACATTGTAAAACTTTACGGACTATTCGGCAAGTTGCCAATATTGCAGACTTCTGACATTCAAGTAGATAGCATGGGTTGTTAAGATTGAGAATTTTGAGATTTTTAGAAAAGCTCTTGTGGAATAAACCGTTAGCTGAAATAATGAATGGAATTATATGTACTTTATTTAGGTTATAAACTAGTTTCAATTGGTAATTCAATTCACTGTACTTAGCAATCTTTTCTAAATAAGTTTTCTGCACATTTTCATCAAGTGGCACACCAATATCTATAATCCATCCATGCTTATTCTTTCTGTCAATAACCACCATATCCGGTCTATTGTGGGGCACCGCAGTGACAGTTATAATCGGAGTATCCCAGTATATGACAGTATCACCATTCTCCGCCTTCCATGCAGGTATGTATTTGTGAGTGGGTTTGAGATCTTTTACCAACTGAAAGTTTTTACACAGTCCCTGATGAATCACCTTACACACCATATTATGTCTAGCCAAGGACTCTCCGGGGGCCAACGGGGAGCACCCCCCTATAATGTGCTGTATGGACTCAACTTCTTTCCCGCACATTCTACATTTATCTGATTCAATATTAGTGCCTTCAATATTTTTAATGTATGCTCTGGTAGGGACGACTTGGTCTTGTATAGCGTGAAGAAATCCTTCCGTCTCAGGAAAGAGATAACCTGATTTTAGGTAAGTGCAGGAAGCTAGAGCGTCAATATTTTCATTATGAAGGTTATGATAAATTCTACCGTGAAGAGGTTTTCCCTTCCATTCGTTGGTTCTTAACGTGGTTGTAGGAGTATCTTCCCGTTGTTTAAAAACGGTGTGACTTTGTCCTATAGCAACAATTGCTTTATGTATTGGCTCTTGAGATTGGTCAAAATATTCTCTCAGTTTTTGTTCTTCATTTGCTGCCATAGTTTCAACACTCAGCAGTCCTCTGCCTCCTGATTTTCTTGGCAGGTATAATCGACATTTTGATGACTTCGGGTGGTGCATACGATATTTTGTTATCCATTTTCTTATGTCGGTATCCAATTGTTGAAGAGATGTTTTTGGCCAGTTTGGTTTGGTTTGGTTTGGTTGATTGGTTTGATTTGGATTCATGCATACATACTGCCATTACTCGCTAACGAGTATTTGACACGCATCAGAAGATGGTTTTCTTTTATGAGCTTTTCTGTGACTGAAAAACCCGATACGTGATGTTATCTGCCCACCGCACTCCGGACATTCAAAAATCTCATTGCTTTGTTGCCTCTTTACTTTTTGGTTGTCGGTGTTAACTGAGTTATTCTTCTCCATTCCGTTCTATTGTGAGCTGCTTCTTCCTACTCACTCTGCATGTTAATCCCCTTTAAGTTTTCGTAGAAAATATCCTTGTATCTTTTGAGTTGTCCACCCGGCCTCCTCTTACTGTCTACAAGCTCACCATAAAGCAGAGATTTTGGAATGCGGTTTTCTTGCATTCTGCATACGTGACCAGCACATCTTAAGCGGGACTTTGTAATCATGACTTCAATACTCTCGCAATTAGCTTTTTCAAGGACCAATACGTTTGAAACATGATGGAACCATTTGATTCTTAAGAGTTTTCTAAGATGTCTCTGTTGCAACTTGTTTAATGCGTTTATATGTCAGAGGTACGGCACCCAGGTTTCGCTTCCATATAACATGGTGGGAATTATTATTGCTCAGCACACTGCAAAATTCGTTTTTGTATTCAAGCCATTACTGTAGAAGAGACTCTTGAGGCGCTGCTAATCGTGTGCTGAATTTCAGAGTTGATATTGGCCTTTTCCGAAATCAAACCGACGAAAATACGAGTTGCTTAACTCTAATAATTCTAATTCTGAGCTAGCAAATCAGATAAATGCTTTACCTAGACCGTTACTCAGAAGCTACAAAGGTATCGATGAAAATATGCATGCAAATTTACATCCTAGAACACAACCAGAGGATATTGGTACCCAGGTACAGTATCAAGTTTATTATAATGCTTTTCTTAGCTTTAAATTAAATGCTTTTTGGTGTTTGCACTTTTCTTTGTCGCAAACTCGTGCGTCAAGGCCTGGTCAAGTTCATGTCGTGCGCGATGGGAGTAAAGAAGCTTTACTTCAAAATTTTATCTTCTTGTAAAGACAATCAGGGAACATACTGTATATAAATTTTCTTCTTTAATGACAAATAAACTATTGCTAATTTAACAATGGTTAGAGCAGAATAAAAAATAGGTTTCCTGTAATTTAAACTGTAAAAAATGCACTAAATCATTTACACAGTTAAAATAGTTTCTGTTTCATATACATTTCAATAACCGTAAAAAACTGCAATATTTTCCGTCGATCGGGTTCAAAATTAAAAACCTGACACAACGACATGGCAACTTGGACCATCTAAAAACAATATTTCCCGACTAGGCGGCATTTTTCTGACGCGAATTGATAGCCCGCTATCAATTTTAAAGTGAAATTACGGGCCGCTACGTGTTTATAAAATCTGCCGGTATTCTAGAACCATCGCCGAAAGGATCGCTTTTCGGAATTTTGTTCCGTATTGAACCTATCCATGCATCAGATATTTATTGGACGAGATGCGTCAATATCTAGATATCACAATTCAGTGGTGTAAAGTTTTTCTTTTGACATTGTGAGTCAATTGAGAGTCATTGTAACTATATTGACTATACACACTATACACAACTATACAGAAAAATAGAGGCGGTATAGTCTATAAAATGAATAACTTTGAATTTTGACCGTTATTTTTTACCAATATGGCAAACATAAAATCCCTCTGTCAAAAAAGTTACTGATATTCTTTAAATTGAGTGCCTGAACGAATCAGATAGGTTACTCTTTTTACTTTCGTGAAATAGAAAAGGAAAATAATAAACAAAGTCACAGTCTTCTTGCAAAATCAACACAAAATGTCATAATTGTCAAAAGTAAAATGTCATCAGCTTTTGGCATTTCTAAATATCAGACCAATGCAGTTTCTAATAGAACAGCCTCGGAGCGAGATTTATGACGTCACGCTAGTTAGATACTACGGATCAATAAATATGTTGTAGAATACATGGAAAACATAATTATTCCTCGTATTTTTGGTTTGTATTTTAAAATGATACAGTTTACATGAAATATACATAATATACAGTTAATAAATACAATATATATATACCTATTTAGAGGCTTGAAAAAGACATATACTGTCGAAACGTTGTCACAAAATAAAAAAATAATGAACAAAATCTAGAAACATCTTTGCAACCCCAACGATCTAAAGCCAAGAGTGGAAACAAAAAAATATACCTATTTATAGTAATAAATACTTTGGCAAATAAACTATGAACCATACAAATGCAGCAAATGTTTTACAATATACAAATAATGAATAGGTACATAAGATAATGGGTAAAATGTAAAATGTTTTAAATTTTGGGGTTTGAAAATCGATCTAATTTAACAAAAAACATTCAATATCTACTAATAGTGATGTATTATTATTTGCATTCACAAAATTTATATGTATATTTCATGTAAACTATATCATTTTTAAAATACAAACCAAAAATACGGGGAATAATTATGTTTTCCATGTATTCTACAACATATTTATTAATCCATAGTATCTAACTAGCGTGACGTCATAAATCTCGCTCCGGGGCTTTTCTATTAGAGAAGGCATCGCGTCAGCATGGCCGCAAGTTGCTAACCTAATAAAATTAACACTAGAAAAGCCCGCGGGAACTGTTTCAAAATTATTTGTTTCACAGACTATACCATTGCACTACTTTTGTTTCTTATATGTTTTACATTTAAAAACTAGCGTTTAGAATTTTTTTTTTCGTATTCTAATGCAAAAAATCATGAAAAATTTCAACAAAAAATCTTAATAACTGAATATAACTGATATTAGTGTTATTTAAAATACCTTCTGTATAAAAAATCTGTTGTTTCTTTCAAAAATAAAGAAAAGATAGGAGCAGTACATTTGATCTTCTTTTTTTTAATTTTCACACCCAAAAAACAAAAAACAAACTTTATAATTTTATTTTGGTGTTGTAGTGTAAATAATGAAAAATTGAGATCTTTTAAGTAACAATCTAATATTATATTTAAAATACTTGCTTTATAAAACACTATATCATGCTGTAATAATAATCTTAAATATTTTTCTTTGGTTTTTTTAGTAAATGTGCTAAGAATACTTTACTTGAATCTAAATATACAGAGTGGTCCGAACTGTATTCCGGAAACTTCGGCAGCTTGTTCTGCAGATAACAATAAGGAAAACAGTCCGTATAAATGTATGTCCTAAAATACTTAGTTTCGGAGATACAGGGTGTATAAGTTAAACCATATTTATTTCGATTTTTTCCAAATAATTTCTGAAGCAACGTCAATATTTAGATGAAAATTGGTGTCTAGGAATTTTTTGACATGAGAAATTTGATTTTCATGTCAAGATGACTCCTACTTATAGAGGGCGCCACCTACATATTTTTAAATGGTTTGAAAAGTAATAACTTTTTGTCTGTTTCTGTATGAAACTACTGAGTACAAAATATAAATTTACGACGTTTTTTACGTAAAAAAGGTCTATTGGAAAAAAAACCTACTAGTAATGGTTCTTAAAATATTGGGAATCGGAATTATCAATACCTATCATCATTCATATAAATTAAACATGACTAAATAGTTATTAGAATGAAATCATAAATTTGAGATGATTTTGTGCCAAAAGTTCCACTGAAACTGTTTTATAATCATTTTTTCGCAGAAAAAATTATGATTAATTTAAAGGAATAAAGATTTCCCAAATTTATTATCAAATTATTATCAAATAACTATCTACTCAACGTGTTTATTTTTTGTCAATATAATGACATGTATTGATTATTACCTTTCTAAATATCTTGCGAGAATGGTTGCTCGTAGCGATTTTTACCAAGAGACATTTTTTAGGGGGCCTTTTTTTAGGTAAGAAGTCAGGGAAATATATATTTTTCCACTCAGTAGTTTTATATCCGACGATGTAGGTACCGACGAAAAGTTATTATACTCTTAAAAACAGTTTAAATACTTGTAGGTGGCGCCCTCTACAAATAGGAGTCATATTTACATCAAAATCAAATTTCTCGTGTCAAAAAACTCGCAGACATCAATTTTCATGCAAATATTGACGTTACTTCAGACATTATTTGAAAAAAATCGAAATAAATATGAAACTTCTACATCCTGTATCTCCAAAACTAAGCATTTTAGGACATACATTTATACGAACTTCTTCACTTATTTTTATCTGCAAAATATGCTGCAGAAGTTTCCGGAATATAGTTCGGACCGCCCTGAATATATACAGGGTATCTCAAGGTTCCGTAAACAAAACTACTACGAATTTTTTACATAAAAATAAGTTAATTTACAATTACACAATTTATCTCCATACATAAGTGCCTTGTTGATCCGTTAGACGGCATTAAACTTCAAGATATGACAAAGGTAAAAACCACAAATAAATAAAATAAAAAAGATTACAAATATTTTGTAATCTCTACTCTAAAACATCCAGCAGGTATTAAACTTTCACATAGTGTAATTTTATTGGTGAAATATATTCCATGACTATTAATGTTTAATACTAAAAGTACTGTCTATATTCAAAGAAGTATGATTACATAGTTATAATACAATATGCAATATTACTATTGTGAATTTATATCATATTGATACTCCTTTGACATGACTAACATTACAAATTCCCTTTATTCTATCATATCTAATGAAGAAGTATATCGGGCGACTAGAGATGAGAAGTAAATCTATCGGGCGACTTAAAAATAGTTAAATTCAATGATGTACCTGTATACTATATGTTATCTGTGTATGCACGTGTTAATGACTTTTAAAAATTAGGATTAAGTTTTAACAAAAAGTACAAATCTACGTTCAGGGTAAGTCATTATTGTTTTGTTATTTTTGGATTTTTAACTGTTTTATATGTAAATATTATTAATTCTGACAGATGGAACAAGTAGAAGATTCTTTATGAAAAAGACCAAGTTATGGTCGAAACGTCATGATATAAAAAATAATTATCAA